CTGAGCCACGGCTGAGCCACACCCGGCTGGGCTCCGGTGAGCAGTTCAGGGGCTCCTAGCACCCACCTCTGTGTCGCCCCGAAACATTCACAGCCGCCCAGTAAACAGCAGCTCTCCTGTCCCCCTCCGCCCCCAGCTGGCCCTGATTTGCTTGCGGTGACAGATCTCCCCATTCCGGACACGTCGCAGACACGGGACGTGGGCCTGTGGCCTGCGTGTCTGGCTCCTTCCCTTCAGGAGCGTGTCCTCCAGATCCTCCCCATTGTGGCACCTGTGAGAGCGCCTGGCGGCTGAGTGACACTCACGGACGTGGACTGGGCCACGTCCTGTCAGTCGTTCATCTGCTGGTGACCTTGGGCCGAAATCCCAAACACATCGGCCCTTGAGGCGAGAGCGTTGTGTGGAAAGGACAGTGTTTCAAACGATGCTGTTGGGGAGACGGGAGAAAAATTAACTCGCCACGAACCACAGGCCGAACTCAGACCCGAAGCTCTAGACCTCCCATGGAAACAGGGACGCCCGCCGGCCTGGCTCAGGGGCGGAGCGTCGACCTATGACCCCGGAGGTCACGGTTCGATTCCAGTCAGGACACAGGCCTGAGCTGTGGGCTCCACCCCCAGTGGGGGCCGTGCAGGAGGCAGCCGATCAGTGACTCTCTCCGTCATTGATGATTCTGTCTGTCTCTCCCTCTCGCTCTCAGAAATTAATAAAAATGTCCACTTTGTGAAAAAAAGAGGAGAAAGCAGAGGGAAATGTCATGACGTCAGATTTGGGTACCCAGGGGGTCCCGTCTGCTGGCCCAGTGAGTGGAGATGCCGTTCTATTGTCCCCCTTTTCTCTGAGTTGGTTTTGTCTTCAGGGTCCACATCACAGGGAGTGAGATCCGCAGGGTCTGTCCCCCCGCCTGACATCCCTGAGCGCAGCGCCCTCCAGGCCATTCACGTTCTTACAAAGGCAGGAAGCCCTTCAGGTTAAGGGTGAATAACGTTCCCATGTGCATGTGTGTGCATGCATGTGTGATGTGTGTGCATGCATATATGCATGCATGTGTGGCGTGTATTGCATGCATGTGTGAGGTATGTGTGCATGCATATATGCATGCGTGTGTGGTATGTATTGTATGCATGTGTGGTGCATGTGTGCGCATGCATATGTGATGTGTGTATGCACACATGTGGTACATGTGTGCATGCATGTGTGCACGTGTGTGTGCTACACGTGACTTCTCTCTACTTCCTTGGCCCACGAGCATTGGAGATGGCGGTGCCGTGGCCCCGTGGACACGGGTGCCGACCTCCTCAGCCTCGTGTTTGCATGTCCTTCAAGCACCTTCCCAGGCGCAGCGCGGGTCTGTGGGCCTTGGTCCGTGGCTGCTGAGGCGCTGTCTGTCCGCAGGGCCAGGGAGCCGACACCGGTTCTGGTGGATGGGGGGCTGGCTCTTTGCCGTGGTGGCCGGGACCCTCGTCATTCTCTGCGTCAGGAAACCCGGAGATGGAGGCGGCCGGGCGGCCTGCTGCGGTCCCCGTGCAGGTGAGCACCGAGCTGGAGCCGGGGGACGGGAGGCCGTGACAGCCGGGCGGTCCGGGCGCCTGGGGGAGGACAGGGCTGGGCCTTAGCCGGCCGGTGCCTGGGGCCGAGGGACGGGCCTGGCTAGGAGGGTCCCTCAGGCCTCATTGACGGTGCCAGCTCCATCTCCCAGTGGCAGCCCTGGCCGAGGCAGGGTGTGGGCAGGTCTGTGGGGCAGAGCCCGGGCTGCTGAGCTCGGGACGCTGGGCTCCTGGCAGGTTCTGGAAGCTGTGCAGCCAGGAAACAGGGGCGAGGCTCAGTGGCCCCTTGCTGGAGCTCCCAGACCTGGGGGTGGGGGTGGGGGAGCTGTGATCGCTTCTGGAACCGCCTCAGCTCAGAGGAACCTCCTGGCACCTTCCGGTAACCCCCTGCCGTCTGTCTCCCAGGACCTGTCTCCACAGGACGCCCTTTCAGAAGAGACAGCCTGGTGAGTGCTCCCGGCCAGGCCAGCCCCGGGCTGGGAGGGGGACCCACTCCAGCTGCCGCGAGCCCCTCGCTGCCCGAGCGTCAGCCGAACACGAGCCGAGGGCTGAGCTGGAAGTGCCTTAGACTCTGGAGCAGCGGTTCTCAACCTGTGGGTCGCGACCTCTTTGGGGGTCGAACGACCCTTTCACAGGGGTCGCCTAAGACCATCCTGCATATCAGATATTTACACGACGATTCATCACAGTAGCAACATGACAGTGATGAAGTAGCAACGAAAATAATTTT